TAATTTGGATCTTTAAAACTGAACGACATCGGAGGTGTTCGACGATGTCGGAAGCATTGATTTAAGGTGATGAGGTTGACCAGAGAATCTGATTCCGTTTCTAGGGATTCGTCTATCAAAACCTAAATCGAGATCGGGAGAATGTGATAATGGCATGAACTCTTTTGGTGATGGAAGCTCTTCTTCCCATCTTGCAAAACCAATAAAAATCGTGGACATGGTCTCATGGATAAATAATTATGGACACATGATCATGGATAAGGAATAAGTAATTTTGAGATCGTGGATAAGATACCATAGAAATATTCTTTTCTTTCTTATGGTCTGGATGTGAGAAATTTGTTTGATGATCGATGGTCAATGATACAATACAATTGCATCACATTTTGAACCCAGGAAAATAGGGTTTCGACAAACCCAGAAAAAGCTTTTGTCTCATGGACACAATGTCATGGATACGGATCAATGGACAAAATGGGATGGATCGCATCCAACTTTCTCGTGGATAAAGATCGGTGGACAGAATGAGATGGATCGTATCCATGAAAATAGATCCAACATGCAAAATCCACATCATAATCTTCATGATCGTATAACAAGTTTTCATTTGGCTGAGAATGTATGTTTCATGATATTTTAATCACAAAAACTTTGTTTTAGTTCTCCTTGCAATTTTATAAATTTGGTTGACATCTTGGATTTGAATAAAGGTACCCATGAAACATAAAAGACATGTTCAAACCATTTTGTGTTGTTCATAAGGTTACACACAACTTGGATTCAAACAAGTTAAACATGACATAGTAAAGATATAATGTGACCATATTGCGTTGTCCATATAGTTAACACCGTTTAGTTTAAACCAATCGAAGTTGTGGACAATCCATGTGTGACCATCCACGTGGGAGCATCCATGTGTGACCATCCACCAACATCCATCCATACGTGATGTGCTAATAACATTACAATCTTCAACGATGCGAGTTTCGGTAAACCCAGAAACCCTATGTCTAACTCGCTACATACTTCCTATCCATTAGCGAGTTACCATCTGCGTATAACAATCTGATTTTTCTTTGAGGCATTTTCCCGAAATCTTTGTGTGTGTTTTTTCAATCCTTTTGTTTGCCATAAAAATCCATAAAATTACAACCTAAACTCATCCTTATGAATCTAAACCAACCATCAAACTTTGGTTTAATCTGAGATCCTATTTAAAAGCCAACAAATTGATTTACAAAAAAGGAGGAAGAAGAAGAGAATCAAAAGAATAGTGAGAGGAGAAAAAAAAATTGATTTACACAATTGATTTTTTCCAAATGAAATTAGGGTTGAAACTAAAAGAAGATTGAAGTTAGCGAAAGAGGCTATGAAGTTTTTAGAAGAATATTGAAGGAACAAGAAGATCGATACA